GACTGTGGAGAAGAGACACAGCAAATACTTAATCTGTAGAGTCCAACAGAAGGACATCCACCAGATCAGAGAGACACATATCTATGTTCCAGGTTATAAAGAGCTCTAAATATATTAAACATATTGTCACTGTTGAGCTCCAGTTTGATTCAATAATCTCATTCTGTTCTCTCTTCTATCTTTTCAGATTATTCATTCACAGTTCAGTCTCCTGATTGGATTCTGATCATCGGCACTCCTGTTTGTATTATTGTGCTGATCATTATTATTGTGCTGTTCATTATCAACCTTATAAAATGTAAGTCACATTTATTTTCTTTTTTATACAAAGTTATTGTCAGAGCTCTTTATTGACATACATACAGGCATAACAACAGTAACTAAGCAAACAGTCTGAAATGATCTTCACTGCAGGAAATTTGGGGAAAATGGAGGAAATAAGAGAAAATGTGTTGCTTTCAAAAGCTTTCTCTCATTTGGAAATGTTCTGTTTATGAAAGTCACTGTGATGTTAAAAATATTCCAGTTCAATTATCATATTTTTATTCTGCTTGTGTAGTTTTCTCACTTTAACACTCATTCATTGATTAGACAAAAACACATGAACACAACAACTTCAACACTTTCCTGTTTCTGTTGGTTCACAGGCATAGAGAGGAACCAGAAGAATGAAAATGAACAGAAGAGTGTAAAAAAGACACAGTCCAAGATCCCAAGAATGCCAAATATCACAAAGAAGCTAAATGCAGTTAAGAATTTTTTTGAAGAACTTTTCATGAAGGGAAAGAAGAAGCAGCTGGATAGATTGCCGAGAGAGGAAACATCAGGAGCAGGAAATAACACAGAAGACGAGAGACAGAAAACACTTGAAAACACAGAGGGACAACAAAAAAACTCCTGTAGTGACTGAGAATGAGGCAGAAAAGAAGAGTGGAGGAAATCATTGTGACACTGGAGCATATTCTCCATCTTTTCCTGCTCTACCCGGGTAGGCGGCTGTCAGAGCTCAGACGTAGAGCGGATCGTCCACTATTCAGAAGGTTGGTGGTTAGATTCCCTCCAGTCCGCATGTTAAAGTGTCTTCGAGCAAGATACTGACAAACAATCCAATCAAACCCAGAATCAGATGGGTCACTGCTGCACCATGGGCCTGTAATGTCCATTCAGACTCTCTGTATTTCCTAAGGTTTATTTTGTCCAAAACAAGGAAGCAAATCCCGGTTCCTGCATCAGCCCACCCAGGTGCATGCTGGTCCTATGTTTGCCTTCCTAGAGAAAAAGAATGTATTAACCAAAAGGCTTACAGCACCACCTCCAGGCAGGGAGGGAAAACAGCTAATCATAGAAATCATAGAGAAACAAATATGAGACTCAGGGTCATCCAAGAAAGGTTTGATCTTAGGTACCTACAAGCTCATCAGTTCCTTTTATGCAGAGAATCTCAATCTCAATTAAACTCTTGCAGCAGTAATGAAAAGCACTTAAGTCTCTGATTGTTAGAGCACATATGGGACAGGAACACGAGAGGATTGTTGTCTCAATGAAGAAGAACAGGTAGTGAACTTGAACCAACAAAATGCTGTAGCCAAAAGCAACGACAGGGCTGGTCTGGGTATCATCGGATAATCTGTCATTCATTTGTCATTTAAAAATCTAAATTTGTCTTTTGTTTCATAATAAAAAAGGGTCTGATTTAGGTTTATGTGACCAAAGTCTAGTCACAGACAAAGGACGACACAAGAAGTCCTGGCACTGTGCAACAGGTGAGGTTGAGACAGAGATACACTTTCTCTTAAAATCACATTGGAATACTTTAAAACATTTAATCCAACAATTCCAAACTTTAAAGAGTTAATTGACAATAACAAACAAAAGATTATATTGGGAGAGAGACATGCAGCAAACATAGTGAGACAAAATGTCACAAACTGAGGGACAGACATTAAAATATAATTACTGAATAAGACAAATTAATATCTTGTTGTACATATGGAACACACACACACACACACACACACACACACACACACACACACACACACACACACACACACACACACACACACGTTCTTTTTACTAGTATTTTTTATTCAACTGCTTATTGTTGTATTGTATATAATGAATAGTATTTTTATGAAATGTAATCTTAATGTTCTGTTTTCTTGATTAATTTTTTTCCATTTTTTTTCTAGAATGGTGTTTGTTTTGGCAAAGCTTTGGCAATAATTGTTTCTCACATTCATGCCATTAAAAGCATATTAAATTAAGAGAGTGTGAGAGTGTTTGTGAAAGAGTGTAACAGCAGTGGTTGTAGTCCAGCACAGACAGGCTGCAGTGATTGATGTTAATGTAGTTTGTGTCTGTTCATATGTGAACTGTGCTCATACTTACAAAGACACACAGTTACACTAGTGAATGTGTTACTCTTATGGTTTTAAATGATAAATAGATGACAGGAAATTATCATGTATATTAGGCAACTTTTATTTTCTGTGTTTACAACATTTATTCACTCATCTAAAATATCTCTAAACATGAGTCCTGATCCACATCAACTGCAGAGCAGACTAAACTGGAGACTTTACTTCATACTCCTGATTTTATCCAGATGTTTCTGATCCAGGTGTTCATCTTCATCTTTCTGTTGTCTGCAGTTAACTGCTTCATCCTCTATCAGCAGCTCTCCTCTTCCTCTGCAGTCTATGTCTCCTTATGAACAGCCACAAGAGGGCGCAACAGGCTTTCTGACAGACACACAACTAAACACTCAACAGTGTTTACTTTATACCTCAGTCTGTATAAATGAGCTGACTTGTGCATTCAAATAGTTAAAGTGTGGGAGACCAAACCTCCCTCTGTTTGACCCCTGATGAGGGTTGAATCAATGAAAGGTCCAGTGTGTAACATTGAGGAGGATCTACTGGCACAAATGGAAGATAATAACTATGTTTTCATTAGTGTATAATCACCTGAAAATAAGAATCAAACCAACATTCAGGCTCTAAAATACAGGAGGTTTTTAATAGTGTCCATATTAAAGGCATGGTCACTATCCTGGTGTGTTTGTGTGTGTTTAGATATTTTAGGTGAAACGTCATCCTGCTCTGACATTTTTACAACCACTGAATCTGGTTGTGTGTTTCCAGTTTGTGACGACTGACAGTTGGTTTTTATTGTATATTGTGTTGATAGAGTGCACATTATTTCATAGACGATGTGGCAACTTGTTTGTTGTTTATTCAGCCTCAAACTCTAAAAGGCAAACACTTGGTTTCACCCTGACTAAAAGTCAATATAAAGTCACACCCGTTATCTAACCCACAGTGAAAGTACACATTGTTTATCTGAGGTTGTCTTTGTGGATATTTTATTTACTGACTTTGACTGTACAGCTTCCTCCCTGAGTTGAGGCTCCTTCACTCACTCAACAGGTATGTAGGATTTTTACATGAAACACTTAATAATACATTACATTAGTGATTTATTTCACATGCCATTATTGTAATTATTTATAGTGTGTTTCTGGATTAAAAGTCAAACAGTCTTTTTCTGCAGTATTATTTCACTTATGTGGCTACAGTAGTGAACGCTGTGGTAATCTGGGACCAATCAGCTTTTTACTTTGTATTCACACATATCCAACCTGCTTTCCTCTTGTCTTAACTACAATGTTCAACTCTGTTTTATTTGGTACTAATAAAACATTCAATCACATTGTTCAGGAGTTTATATGAACAGTAAAACCACCACTGTGTTCAACAAAGGTCTGAATCATTACACTGATTACACTGTGTTCAGTTATGATTGAGATATTTTAGAGTGAACTGATTTATTCTCATTTTCAGAACTCCAAGATGATTCACATGAAGGACAGACTGATCCTAAAACCTGAGCTCAGTGACCACAGTGCGTTGGTCTTTCATCACACTGTAGTCCTCCTCACGCACTCTTCTGCCTATGCACCAAACAGCAGTTAAGCGTATTCGGCCTTCTTGAAGACCCTGAATGAAGTCCTGTATAGGGCTCAAGTATGGGACTCCATTGTTCTCCTGGGAGACTTCAACGCACATGTGGGCAATGATGGAGACACTTGGAGGGCAGCCTCCCCGAGTTGAACCCGAGCAGTGTTTTGTTACTGGACTTCTGTGCTAGTCATGGATCGTCCATAACGAACACCATGTTTGTACATAAAGATGCTCGTAAGTGTACGTGGTACCAGAGCACCTTAGGCCAAAGGTCTATGATCGATTTTGTGATCGTAGCATCAGACCTGAGGCCACATGTATTGGACATTCAGGTAAAGAGAGGGGCAGAGCTGTCAACTGATCACCATCTGGTGGTGAGTTGTGTTAGATGGCGGGAGAAGCCACTGGACGGACCTGGTAAACCCAAACGTGCAGTACGGGTGAACTGGGAACGTCTGGAGGAGGCCCCTGTCCGAGAGACCTTCAACTCCCACCTCCGGGGGAGCTTCTCCGGCATCCCTGCGGAGGCTGGGGACATCGAACCAGAGTGGTTAGTTTTCAAAGCTTCTATTGCTGAAGCTGCGGCTGTGAGCTGTGGTTTTAAGGTCTTGGGTGCTTCAAAGGGCGGTAACCCTCAAACTATGCTATCCTGGAGGACTCCTGAGGCAGTTGCAGGGTACCGACAGACCCGAAGGACTGCAGCCTCAGCTATGAGGGAAACAAAACAGCGGGTGTGGGAGGAGTTCCGAGAGGTCATGGAGAACGACTTTCAGACAGCACCCAGGCGCTTCTGGAAAACCATCCGACACCTCAGGAGGGGGAAGCTGAACCATCCAGGCTGTGTACACTTTAGTCAGACAGACAGACAGACAGACAGACAGACAGACAGACAGACAGAGATTTACTGCCAACTGCACATCAACTTAACCTCACAGTCAGATAGTTCTGTTCATCCCCACTGAGGAGGAGGCGGGGCCCTACAGAGCCCATGTCAGGGACCGTATATGACCTCCACTGACAAACACTGACAAACACTGAAATAGGAGGTGTGACTAGACCTCAACTTGTTTTTTTTGTGTTGGTAACTTCACTAAAATGGCCTCTCTGGGACCTTGTCTTACAGAGGAAGTTGAACTCAGTGTGGCTCTCTTTGGGGTACCTGTCTTCACATTGGTGATCCTGATAAGTGGTCTCATAAAGCTGGTTGTTAACTGGTTCAGTGAACTCTGAGTTTATCAGTGCAGCTACAAGAGTCATGAGGAAGAAGGCAATCTTCTTTCAAATCTAAATTTGTTTCTGTGCAGGAAGAAGTTGTAATGTCTGTAAACACAGTATGAACAGGACTAAACTTTATATGAAAACTACTCTAACAGTCTGATTATTAGTCATTCAGTCAATGTTCAGTTACATCCACTGGTTAAATAATACTGACTGAACTTATGAGCAACTCTTTACAGACCAACAGTGACACAAACTCACAGACTCAGAGAGGCAGAAACCGATTGAGGTTGTGGTTGTGTGAAATGTGAAGTTCACGTACTTTCCTTCCTGTCAGTGTGAGAACGGAACAACATCACAGTGGAGAGTTTGCATCCATCACGCTGTAAGTCAGAGTTTCTTTTTAAAGTAAAACTTGAATGTTAAATGTTGGATTTGTCATCATTTCATTCTCTGACTGTTATAACAATGTGCAGATTATTTTATGGACAAACTCTCTGTGTTGTTTATTGTGATATCATTATAGTCTATATAAAGTGGACTCACACTGTTACGTAGACACTGAGTCTGTATTTTTATACTGTTATCATTTATTTTACAAACCTTTTATTGAAAGCTTTGAACTCTGAAAGACGATGAAGTGAAAGATTAAATATGTTTTTATCCTCCAACAGTGGAGGAGGAAGAACTCTAACAGTCAGTAAATGAAGCACTACCACAAAATACATAGTCCTTCATCAGTATTTTACTCATTTAATCAATAATCTACTTTCAGGATGAAGTCCTATTAACAGTTAAAGGATAAATGTTACAGTTCTTTTAAATAAGAAATATGATTTTTTGTATACTTATATATAGAAACATACATCAAAATCGCCTTCTTAAATGTGATGAAAATGTTTAAAATCAATAAGAATACTGTATCAGTGATTAATATTTAATAGCGATGTTCCGGTCCGAGTCTCTTTATATTGATTATCAGCTGAGTCCCGATCCGATACTGTTTCAGATAATAGTGCACACTTCCAGTACATTAAAGTTACTGAAATCAATCCAGTGTACAGGTCTGACAAATGAATAGCTCTGCACTAGTTCAGTCACTCAGCTTTAACTGAGTGACTGAATGAACTGTTCTGAGGGTTTATTACTGTTTGGTGCATTCATTAGTTACTCTTTATGGCCTTTTGTAGTTTTGTCAACAAGAGGCTGTTTGGTTTGTCATTTTGGATGCAGAGGGAACTATGGGTGCCCACGAGTCTCCTCTTTTGCAGACTTTATGTGAATCTCGTTTGTTGCATGTGGTTTAAATGTGATATTTTTGTGTGTATTATACTGGAGTCCATAAACAGTGTGTGAATGATACTCTGACTCTCTGGGGAGCTCCCTTTTCAACTGTTGCTACTGAACTGACAGTAACAGAGAAATGAATAATAGCTGTTTGGTGGGCAGATTAATGTTGATGGTGGAGTTTCAGTGTAGGCAGATAACCTTTACAAGCTGCAGATTATTTTCTCTGTTTGACTGTGAACAGATAGTAGTTGGTGTTTCACTCCCTCCCATAGACCGTGGAACCGGGGGGGCAGGGGGGCCACGGCCGGGTAACTTTTGTACTCTGACAAACTATTTTATAAGAATAAAAGCCTAAGTTGTATCAGTGTTTTTACGAGCCAAACAATACTAGTCACAACACACCTTCACTCACTCTCACTGACTGCTGCCGATAAACTCCCACTGACTGTGGACTGTGCGTGTGTGTGTGTGTGCGGCTTTGCAAGTCATCAGTCAGATATGAGTGTTGACTTGTGATGATAATGACTATGATGTTGATTTTTATATATATTATATTATATTATATTATATTATATTATATTATATTATATAATATAATATAATATAATATAATATATATTATAATATAATATATATTATATTATACTATATATTATAATATATATTATATTATATATTATATTATATTATACTATATTATATTATATTATATTATATTATATTATATTATATTATACTATATAATATAATATAATATAATATAATATAATATATATTATAATATAATATATATTATATTATACTATATATTATAATATATATTATATTATATATTATATTATATTATACTATATTATATTATATTATATTATATTATATTATATTATATCAAAGTCAAAGTCAGCTTTAATGTCAGTTACTTCATTATACACCAGACATACAAAGGAATCGAGAGGACGTTTCTCACTCTCCCAAGGTGAAACAGATGCGCAGGCACACAGATAAGATATTTCCTTATACTAAAAAGATAGACAATAAAATATAAAATATACAATAATATAAAATATAAAATACTTATGGTAGTGCAAAAAGGCAGTCGGTAATGGCAGCAAAAAATTCTGTGAGATATATTTGTAACAGTGCAAAAAGAACAGTCAGTAAAAACAGTAAATAGCAGCCAATTTCAGCTGGAAGGGCACATACCCCACCAGATTTTTGATAGTTTAAACATTAATGTATTAATGAATAATTTATATTGTATATAATATCATATAATATGATATTATACTAAATAATATTATATATATGTAGCCTATATATTATATTACACTATAATATATATATATTATAGTATAATATAATATTATATTATATTCTATTATATAGTATAATATAATATATATTATATATATGTATGCATTGTACCCTTAATGCCAAGCGCAATGTTGTCTTAAATAAATGTTACAAATGTCTTTTCAATAATTAACAGTTAATTTCCTGTGAAATGATTGAGGAGTTAACATGTGAGGGCAGTTTGATGCTTTAAAGGATGCATTTAGATACACAGTCCATCTTAATACAAACATACATTGAAAGAGTTATTGATCACATTGATCACTTTTTCCTGAAGTGATGCTCATTGGACTGTAAACCCGGATAAGTTGAGTTTACTTAAAAAATTTGAGGAAACCGGTTGCCTTAAAAAAATTAATGTTGAAAATTTTAAGTTCAATGCACTAACCTTCAAGCTGATTTCACTTGAAATCACTTGTAATGTTAATTTACCCAATTACTCCACCTAGTATCTTAAGAGTAAAAAACTAAATTACATTTCATTAAACTGTTTTAAACCAGAAATTCTAAATTAAGAAAATAAAAAGCAAAACACAAAAGCACATTCTTTTCATGTTTTATTTTAACTTGGGGCACAGGAAACATTTTTAAACCATCTTATTTGTTCTTGGTTGACCCTGGTGGTATATAACATATTTTAGAAGGGAAAGAAGACTGCCTCTTCACTGTTAACTTCTGCTGCTCTCTACATGCACGAATTGGAAAGTGGAACCACAACTTTAGCTTTGATGTGCACAATGCCAGTGTCTTCCATGCTCCCACTATGACAGGATTGCTGGAGGACTACAAGGACCCTAAGTCCTGCTAATAATAAAACCATAATAAAACCATAAAACATGCCTAGCAATACGGATGGAACCAAACTGCAAGATCAGTACAAATACCATCATCTGATCATCATCAGAAAGACACAAAGACAGTGGAAATACTTAAAAACATATCAGTGCAAAACAGTAAACATGGTATTTTAGACATGCAACAGCACCAAGCACTGATATCTCTAACAGTGGTATATTTCAGAACACTGTTTTAGACAGAGAGTTGATTTTTCAGTGTTTGGATTTTTGGTGCAAGCTCACCTCTGCCCAGGTTGAGCATCACCTGCTGAATGAACTGGAAGGTGTTTTTCATGCATTTAGGGTAATCTAAGTGCAAGGCATAAATCAGTCCAAAAAGATCACAGAAGGCCTGTGGTAGGTTGGCCAGCTCCTCCATGACCACAACTCCCTCCAACACGATGCCTACTCTGGATGGGTTGAGCGGAGGATTTTCGTCAATGCAAAAGATTCCCACTCGCATCTGACTGTACCAGTCCTTGTCACTTGCGTCCTGACAGAAAGAAACAGGAGAATAAATATAACTTCTCAAACTAACAAAACACAACAAAGTTAGCCTTTAGAAATTAGTAAACACGGCTTCCTCCGCCTCCTACGTCACATCCGCCTTCTTCTTCGCTTGGCAAAGTAGCGGTGAATCTCTACTGTGCAGCGGAAGATGTCAGCCTCCTTGTAGGGGGACCCGAGGTCTATGTACACATAAATGCGAAATCTGAGGTAATAAAAACGTAACGACTCGACATAGGGTGACTATATAGCACTAACAACATAGTTATATGTATTATTTTACATTTCTGTTAATAAATCACCATAAATATTACACACTGGATCTTTAATCACTAAAGAAACAATGCACCTGCATCATTTACAACAAATGTAGTTACTTACAGGGAAGGTTTAGAAGAATTCAGAGGGATCATCCCCGAAGATGAAGGCACCTTATGTCTGTTGGCTGCGTGGTCTGCAAGATAGTGGACATAACTAAATCACATATAGTTATTAAATACATTCATTGACTTCTCCACAGTTTTTAATTACTTTTAGGGCTGTCAAAGTAACATGTTATATTAATTATAAAATAATGCAGATTAATCAGACTGCATCCATGAGGAGAATCAGGAAACTTCAGCTCACTCTCCAGCACAGTAGGTGGAAAGACAAAAACAAAAAAACAAAAAAATATCAGTTTAAAATATTTATATTTTATATTTAACTGCTGTAAACTGCAATTTCCATTAGCTTCCGAGCTAACGAGTCTCTAGCAAGTGGAAATATCCATATGACTGGTTAAAACAACGTTTTTACTGCTCACAAACAGCCACTGCAGATAAATCTATGGACTATGGAGAGAAAATGTCTTTAACTGGTTAAAATGTTGTTTTCTCTACTCTGGAGCTAAAATGTGGTGAACGTTAGCGTATAATCTTAGCTGGTTAAAACAAAATGTTTCACCCTCAAACAGCCAACTAACACACAGTGGCAACTTTAAATCAAATATTAAAACACAGTGTGGTCGTCCTGTCACCGGGACGCAACAGGTGAACACAAGGCGGGAGACGTAACGGAAATGCTGCATTCAAGTGCTGCCAGATTAATCGGAAAAATTATTTCCAACTTCAAATTAATATAACCTATACATTTTGCTTAGATATAACGTGCAATAGAATATTAACGTTAATTGCTGTCCATGTTGTAGAGTGACTATAGCACAAACCCTGATAATAAGTCAATATTTTTGTGGTTTCAGGGAATGTAGGTTACTCATGCAGCAACAAGTCTGGGACAAAATAAAGCTTTAAACCGTCTCAGCACGTTTGATAACGTGAATCTCCACTGGTATGCTATCAATGTCTTTGTAACACTCAAAATATTAAAATACAACACATCTGTTTTGTAGCATCCATGTTGCACAAGAACATCTGTGGTCAGACAACGTATCACTTTGTTGACAGTTATATCTGTTAGTGAGACACAGCAGAGAACGAACTGAAAAACAGATCACACTTTGCACCAGAACATCTGTGTGCATGTACGTACAACAACCTGGTTTGTGGTTTAGTCAGTTACAGGAAGTCACAGCAGATGAGGAGCTGAAAACAGACCATTTACACTGATGTACTGAGACAGAAATAAGAGGCAGTGAAAGAAAAACTAAAATCAGCTCTACAGTTTCTACCCTGTTCAACCTCATTTTCCACTGAGTAAAGACTTTTATTTATTTATAATAAACAAGCAGACTAAAGGTTTGTGTCTTTCTTTATATTCAGGAGTCTACAATGCTGTATCCAAAGACAGAGCTCTGTGATGGACTGTCCTTCAGGACCTGCAGGGTTTTCATCATTCTTCTAACACAGTGTTTAACAGGTAATTTACACATAGAAACAGTCCAGTAACACATTGAGTGTGTGTGTGTGTGTGTGTGTGTGTGTGTGTGTAGGTGTGCCAGTACTTTTTTATATATAATTTCCTTCATGCACATTTATTTTTACACCATGCCATTACCTCCGGCTGTAACCTGTACAATATTCACATCTGTATAAAAAGCTGTTTATAGTGTAAATATAACTCTTATTCTACTTTTTCTTTATAACTTTTGTTTTTCTATTTTATTTAGTTATTTAATGTGTATTTCTTCTTCTTATTATTATTATTATTTTATTTTATTATCTGCTGTGTTGTATCTGGAGCGGCTGTAACAAGTGAATTTCCCCAGTGTGGGATCAATAAAGTCAATCTTATCTTGTTCCTGTACTCGCTGATACACGACTGCCATTCAAATGATGGTAGAGTCACATTTTATTCACACTCTCTGTGAGTTGTTGAGTTAGACATGAGGTCACATATTGAGAAAAACAATAAATTAAATAAAGAATTAGAAAGAAGACAAAAAGACTTCAGAGGCCAGAGACATTTTAAAACTTTACACTTTATGATGCTGTCTGATATTTGTGCTTGAAGCTCAAACTGTGATGAGTGTGAGTCAGATACAGACTCTGAGGCTCCAGCGGTCGATTGTCTTTGTTTTTGATGCAGTTTTATTAAATGTTTTCTTACTTTTAGAAAGTAAAAATGAATCCATTCAGTCTGATGACATGTATTATAACTATACTACTGTTTCTTGTTTGTTCTTTAGTTCGCGTTGCAGAGCAGTCAGAGTTGATTTGTTCACATCAACCAATCGTAGCCCTGGCTGGTGATGATGTCATTCTACCATGTTACCTTGATCCTCCAATCAGTGCCAGTTCTGAGACAGTGGTGTGGACCAGACCTGGTTTAGACCCAAAGTACATCCATGTTCACCAAGATGGACGACAGATGCCTCAAATTCAAAATCCATCTTATTATCTCAGAACGAGACTGTTTGTGGATGAACTGCAGAATGGAAACGTCTCCATGAAAATCTTCAAAGTGAAAATCTCTGATGCAGGAAAATACTTTTGCATCCTTGAACCAATGTTGAAGGAAGCTTCCATCCAACTCACTGTTGGTAAGTCAGACTTTCTGAAGATGATGAATTACACATTGTGGTGACTGTTGCTACTGATGAGATTGATAGACTGAGTCAAACTAGTTGGACGTGTGTTCTCCATACAGACCACTTCTTCATTTAGCAAAATGATTTATTCTCTTTTATCAAAATACCAGAACGTGTATGGCTACATGGCCAAAAACTGCTCACCTGTATCAATCACAAAGAATAAACAAATAATGCATCCATAAGAATAAAAATCTAACTCTGATCAACCCATCTTGTAGAATCGGATCCAGCCTGTAAATGCTGCTTTTCCTTTTTACTCCAAACCTCTCAGACATCACTGCTTCAGTTTCACTGTGGGATCTTTCCTTCTGACTGAAGCGAATGATGGCAGACAAACTCTGACCTAATGAACCTTTCAACATTTCATGCTCCACCTTGGCTTCAGTATCTCCATGGGCATTTTCCAGACAATGCTTCCTTTTCCCACTCATCCAGGGTTTTGATAGCAACACACATTTCTGCTGACTGCAAAGATCAGTAATGTAACTTTATATTAGAAGTAAGCAGCCATGATAAGACACAAAGAAAACAAAGTCAAACAGGCAGAAGATGAACACTTTAAAATATAAAGTCAGAGTAAAATCAACATTGACTGGAAGAAACATTAAATGTTTCCTGTGGAGTTTTATTAGAAAGAAACATGTCTGTTAACATTCAGTGTTTCTTATCAAAGTACTTTGTGTGTTTCCTTCAAGTCTAACAATTATGTTGAAAGCTGTATTAGGGAGAGCATGTTTAGTCACCAACAATATTCTTCCTGTCTTTGCTGCTCCAGTGCAGTGTTTATTTGGCTCATTACTGCCACCTGTAGGTCACATTGTTCATTGTGTTACCTGCACAAGATAAAGCAAACAGAGACCCACTGATACTAACAGAGGTCAGAAACACCACAGGATGCATTCAAAGGTCCAGTGTGTGAGATTTATGGAGCTCTATGTACAGAATATGGCAGAAGTGGAATTATAACATTAATAACTGTTTAATTAGTTTACAATCTCCTGAAGAATTATGTTTTAGTTGCTTTATAATGAGCCTTTAATATTGCCATGGAGGCTCCCATGTTAAACCACCATGTTTTCTACAGTAGTGTATAAATACATTCAACATGTTTGTAAGAGTTTAAAGATGTTTTGATGTAAAATGCTAAGTTGTAAACTTTTTATAATATATTTGAACTTTGAAATTCCTCCTCTCTTCTCATCAGGTGTCGTCTCCACTCCCATCATAGAGGTTCTCTCCAATAACAGTGGAAGAGTAGTTTTACAGTGTGAGTCTAAAGGCTGGTATCCAGAGCCTGAGGTGGTCTGGCTGGACGGTGAGGGAAACCTCCTCTCTGCTGGACCTACAGAGACAGTCAGAGGTCCTGATGACCTCTATACTGTCAGCAGCAGAGTGACTGTGGAGAAGAGACACAGCAACAACTTCACCTGTAGAGTCCAACAGAAGGACATCAACCAGACCAGAGAGACACACATCTATGTTCCAGGTTATAAAGAGCTCTAAATATATTAAACATATTGTCACTGTTGAGCTCTAGTTTGATTCAATAATGTCATTCTGTTCTCTCTTCTATCTTTTCATCTGATTTATTCACAGTTCAGTCGTCTCCTGATTGGATTGTGATTATCGGCACTCCTGTTTGCATTGTTGTGCTGCTCATTATTATTGTGCTGTTCATTAACACCCTTATAAAATGTAAGTCACATATCTATTTTCCTTTTTTATTCCAAGTTACTGTCAGAGCTCTTTATTGACACACATACAGGCATAACAACAGTAACTAAGCAAACAGTCTGAAATGATCTTCACTGCAGGAAATTTGGGGAAAATGGAGGAAATAAAAGAAAATGTGTTGCTTTCAAAAGTTTTCTCTCATTTGGAAATGTTCTGTTTATGAAAGTCACTGTGATGTTAAAAATATTCCAGTTCAATTATCATATTTTTGTTCTGCTTGTGTAGTTTTCTCATTTTAACACTCATTCATTGATTAGACAAAAACACATGAACACAACAACTTCAACACTTTCCTGATTCTGTTGGCTCACAGGCTCAAAGAGGAGACAGAGGATGAAAAGGAGGGACGACTGGATGTGAGAAAGATCCCAATGAAGCAAAAAGTCTCAAAGAAGCAAAATGCAGTTGAGGAAAACGTTCTAATGACGGAAAGGAAGAAACTTTTTCTCACAAAAGGCTGTGACTTTGTTTAATATTTATTATTATCATCATCATCCATTCTCATGTGTTTGAACACAGAACTGTTCACTGTATATATTTATAGGCTATGTGTTTTATTTTTTCACTCTAAGCTATAAAGGAGTTTATTTTAATAAAAACAGTGTATATAAAGAGCTCTTCGTATCATGTACCACCTATAAACAACATGTTTCTATTATTTTTTATAAAAAAAATGTTTTAAGTAATTTTTATTGTCTTTATTGTATAGTGACAGCCAAAGATAGACAGGAAAGGGGGGATGACACACAGCAAAGGGCCGCAGGTCAGATTCAAACCCGGGCCGCTGCAGAAACTCCGTACACGGGTCACCAGCTCTACTGACTGAGCTAACCGGGCACCTGTATTGTTTCAATTGTCTGATTTTATTTGACTAATTGTTGCCTGAAATGTAAAATAAAATGTATATATAATGTATATGTAATATACTTTTACTTCTTCTTCTTCTGCTTATTATCATTATTATTATCATTATTATTATTATTATTATTATTATTATCATCATTCTTAAAAACGTAATGTATAATGGTCTAACTGATACAAATAGTCCATTTGTTGAGCTCACTGGTATTAAAAAGAAAGCTTAGTGCGCCCTCTGCTGCCAAACAAAGTATAATAATTATTGTTATTATTAAATCATTTGAAGTATTTTACCAATCTGTTTTTATTTAGTTATGGTTGACGTTAAAATATATATTAATAATTGTTATTATAATAATAACTTTATTTATATAGCACAAAAACAACAGAACACTAAGAACCATCACTAATAATATAAGAATAAATGATAAACACTATAAAACATTGCAATAAATAAAAGTATAAACAACAATAAAACCCCAGTGAATACAAACCATTATTTAAATATCACTACATATGTTAAAAACCCTTATTATACTTTATTTACGGTAAATTTTACATATATTTTCCTTTTTTCCTTCTTTACTTATTTATTATTTACATATATTAC